TATATATATGCACACATACATAGGTAAATAAAAATATTTTTCTAAATTCAGGAAATGAATAAATCAAAAATAGGGCTCCGTCATGGGGACCTATCTATCTTTTTGCAGGTACTTGCCAACTTTCAACTCTGTAGCTGTCGTAGTTTTATGGGAAAAGTGACAGATGTGTTTCCAAGTTGCCAAATATATAATAGATGCATACATTGATTTTCTATTCCGCTTTCGTGGTTGTACACTCCCGAATTTCAAAGTTGTGGACTAGTGCGCACGGCTAGAGAACGGAAACCTCACTTCTTTACAATGGCGTCTTAGAAGACGGACTTTCCATTGATTAGATTTAAACGAAACTAATGGAAAAACTGAACATTAAACTACAGTGACTTCTGGCTCCTCAATGAAACTGTGCACCCTTTAAATGATTCCGAACCACCATTAATTTTGTCAAATTCGAAAGTTAAGTGGTTCGGAAGTTTTAGTCGACCAAAGAGACGAATTTTCACTTATACATGTATATATATAGAGATACACACACGTGCACATATACCCAAACGCACACAGAGGCGTTCCCGTTCCTTGTACAAGACTCTTTCATCAAACACTCGTTTGACGCGCAAATACGATTGCACAACTGCAGGGTGAGTAGATCAGCTGGTGGGTTCTTTTTGTTTCAGTAAGAGTTTTACAGCAATTGCAACACAATTAGATCATATCAGTGCTGAAGAGTAGAGGTGTTACAAGAGAGTTACAAAACAAAAAGAAGGAGAGATAAATACAAAAAAGGGGTGGGGTGGGAGAAGGACTATAGACGTATGATAGGAAAGAAAGAGCACAAACGAATGAATAGAGAAACAAAGAACGGCTCAGATGTACTGGTAGACTTACCTGGCCGACAGCTGAAGTCTACTGTGTCTCCAGGTTGGAACTTTTTCTCTGTAGAGGAGGGCACCGTATTTCCAGAGACTTCAGGAAGGTCGCATTTTATCTCTGAGGGGTGGTGAATTGTCATCAAGACATCAGCATGAAATTTCCGCTACTAAATTAACATAATATTGTTTAGCCCACTACCGTTCTTCGCAATAAAGGTCTGGGGAATTTTGTTCAACCTTGCAATCATTTTGTTCTTTTTTAAATTACGAAACTAAACCTCCAATATAAGATCCATGTCTTGGAACACGTCTTGATCTTGATAAGTCCATATGCAACTGATATTCATGAGTAAATACAAGTGTGGGGATAAAATAGGAGACACTGGACGGAACTAAGTTTGTAGTAGCTGCAGTAGTATGAGGTTCTCGGAATAGGGGTTGCTGCAATAACAAGGAACCCCCCCTCCAAAAAAAAAAACCTCAAAAAAACGTGGACTTCCCTGTCCCCAATCCATTCTCTAAAAGCAACTTTAGCTCAAAATGAAGAGTAAGAAAAGTTGCAGACAGAAGGGGCTAATAAATCAAAAACACTCCATTTTACCCTCTTCTTAATAATTCATACTCCGGCATTTGGTGAGAAGGGTTATTGATAATGATGATGATTTAACACGAAGATTGACTGTTATATGCGTCACAAATTATTAGTTTTTTAAAACATATTTCATGAGTTTTGTTCCAACTGTATAACACTAAGCCTAATATTGCGTTATAATTTCTGCGCTCTGGATCAATCCTGGGGATTACGGGGAGGAAGGGGGGGGGTGTATCCCACCCTGAGGTAAAACAAAAATCCGAGGGTTTACGG